TTCATGTTTGTTTTGAAAATGGTTTGCTACTCAGCAAGTAGGCTCTATAAATGCAGATTTTGCCCACAACTCAAGTGGGCTTTTTTAGAAAAGATGATTTGCCACTATCTACGTGGGCTTTAAACTCACAGTTTTATTGCATTATTCCCAATTTAGGTAATCAACCTCCATCCACAGGCATTCCAAGCAGTATATACATCTAAGCAGTTAGGCCTCATGGTAATCAATGTATCTATGGAACATTCACACGCATGCCGATAAGCTAAAGCAAATAAAAGCCTTTACCTAGTACATCCGTGCCAAAAACAGTAAACTAGTTAGCAAAAATGTGCGGTGTCCTAGTTCCATGCTAAATTTGCCTAATGCAAACACATACAAGATGCAATTTAGATAGGCTCGGTTAACCTACAGCATGGGCATTGTTAATGGCGATCAATTATCACATATTCGATTTGTAATTGAAATACAAAATGCACGTTAGCGTGAATGTAACCGAGCCCAATACATGCAGTACAATGCATTGAAATTGCAACGCATGCCATAGCATCAAGGCTATCGCTGGAACTAAACATGCCCTCAAATCTACATCGTAGCAGGTAAATACAAAGGAAAGAAAGAATGGGGTTGGAAACATACACACTACCCACACACCACTTATTACCAATTTTTTGTGCCCTCACTCAGAGGGCCCATAATATTACAGTCCCAAAAAATAACACAATGAAAAATTTTACAGAATTTCTAATCTAATTAAAAGAAAGAGGATGCAAAAGAAAAAAAGGAGGGTGGGCCACAAGCCTCTGCCTCCTGGGGTCGCGCAGACTCGTGCTGCCTCGGAAATCGCTCGCCCGAAAGAACCCGTACCGTAACCGTCTGCCACTGTCGTATTGTTACTGCTGTATTCTCTGAAAATTGTCCAAGCTCCTGGAGCAATGGTTCCTTACCACACTGCAGCAGCACCACTGGCCCGAACAGAATTCCTACCGGCATCCAGAATTTCCATCGGCTTGTTGAGTTATAATACGCACTTTCAAGAATCGATTGCCGACCGGCCCTTGAATTCTGCCCGGTCCGGTAGAAACTTCCCTGCAGAGCATGTTGACAGCAAAACAGGAATAGACCAGTGCCCTGGCATGGGGTTTTCCAAGCCACACTGTAAGCATGGTCATACTTCTATCATGAGTTTTGGACTCAAACGGACGGCATGTCTGTCGATCCATCGAACCACAATGGTGCAATGGGTGGCTCGAAAGGACTCAAATTTGCCAATTTGATATAAAGACGCATGCAACCAACAAACAAAATGAAAACCGAAGCATTATCAAGTGGAGTCCAAAGGCCGGTGACCGGAAATTGACGGCACATTACATCCACTTGAAGTATGGAATGTTTCCTTGATTCCCACCACTTGGTTTGACCACCCAAACCAAGTAAAATGCCACTTGCATGGTTATTGCAACAGGCTCAAAATGGCAACATGATCACCAAAAGAATGCAAGGCACAACACAAGCATTATGCAAACCAACATGACCAAATGATGTAAATGCCAAGCCATACAAGGTGCAAATATGATGCAAAACATGGACCAATTTGGAAATGGGCATTAACATGCTCACGAGGCTGTAATGAAGCAACCATGCGACGAAAACATGACACAAGCATTGCAATGGGGCCTTAAGCCATAAGGGGACAGACCTTAGATCCGCCCCAAACACAGCGTGGCAAAACGATGTCTAAAAGGCGGGACCAACATACGTCATGTTAACAAGCCAAACTCAGTGTCCCAAGGTTAAAGGCAACAAAAGGGAAGACAACTACCCCCACCAACTATGTCCCTCTCATGGCATGATTAAAACAAGTAAAAACAGAATCTCTACCAGGACCAAGATACGGACTTCCAAACCCTCCTAACTATGCGCAGCTAAGGTGACTCCAAGAGCGAATATGCCCAAGGCTCAATGTAAGGCCATAAGAGGGCTACAACCTCAAGGCATAAAACGGGTATGCATGCACACAGGACGAAACCATCGATTCCTTGGACTAAAATATGGGTCCTAAACTTGATGTTAAATCCGACTGAGGGTGATTCACAAGACCATTCACTGCTAGAGGTCAACCATGCTCAAAGCTTTCAAGCCAAAACTAACAGTAGCGGCGCACCTATAACAAACATGTAAGCATGACCAAAGTGATAACCAACAGACTTTAAGCATGAAAAACAATGCTAAAGCTTCATGGAACTAAGCCAACACACCAAAAGAATCATGGTCTAAACACCAAGCGGACATTTCTAGCAAATCGAGCAATACAAAGCAAGTGCTCAAGCATACAAGGAGGCACAAATCTGGCCAAAAACAGAGATCCACATGACCTAAAAACACCCAAAAGTTCTGAAATGAAGCAAACACCAAGCAGCATGCATGCCACCGCTTTTGGCCACAACTCAAGGAAACAAGACAATAAAGGGAGAGGGGTGTCCCTCCCTATGCAAGACTTACAACCGACTCTTCAACATAAAAATAACTAATTTCTCAGGGTGACAGAGATCAAAATACACAAGATGACAAGCTTAACCAAGAGGACACAAAAGTGGCCAAAAAGCCTCAATCAGAGTGAGTGCACTCAAAAACACACAAACAAGCAAAACAAGGAAAGTACCAAGAACAAAAAAAAACAAAACAAAAAAAAAAAAAAAAAAAAAAAACAACTCCCAAAAAACCAAAAAAAACAAAAGCAATCAAAATAACAAAAATAAATACAAAAAAACACAAAAAAAAAAAAAAAAAAAAAAGAAAAATATTAAACTAAAATACAACAAATAAAAGTGAAATAAATAAGACCGCTCTCACACATAAAACACTATTTTCGTGAAGTCAATAAAATCAATTTACAAACAAAATGCAAACAAGCCTAAGATGATTGCTCAAGCAACAAAACCTTATGAAAGTTCTAGCAGAATAGCTTTCTGTTATCACAAGATAAAACAAAAGAGTAAAAAACTATTGCCAAGCTTGGGAATATAAAGCAAGATCCGCTCACTCCTTGAAGGACGCCTTGAAAGAACAAATGGCCTAGCCTCTTTCTTTTGATCCAAAACCAGAGTCAAAAACTACAAGAATCAAACCTCCAAGTTCCTCAATCTCGCAGAAGGTTAATTAGTGTGTGGTAATGGGTCGCAAAAGTAAGGTAAAAACCACCTTTTAGGCCAAGCGGAAACACACACAAAGGAAGGGGGAGGGAGATATAAGCTAGCAGTGTTTCTATACCTCACAAGCTCTGATTTTTGCTTCTCAAACATTCTAACCTAGATCAAAGAGGAGAGGCCCCTCCCTCTTATAAGACTCCCTCTTGACAAGCTTATACAAAAGGCTTGCTTAGAGGGAGATCCCTCCAACACGTGTAATGGAGCGGAGGCAGAGTTGCCGGTGCCAGCTACTCACAGGGCTGGCACAAAATTTTCATAAAGTGGCTCACTGCCCTCGCATGATCAGTGGGTCGGCTGCCCAAAAACAGTTGTTCGAACAAAAAAAGGTGCCCGACCCAGCAACCAAACTATGCCCGACCGGCAATAAAATTGCCGGCCGGCCAACAAAATGTGCCGATGGAAGCAACAAAGACCAGCCGGTGGCCTCTAGCCACTGCTGGTGGCTGCTGTCGTGGGATGCTTACAAGCCTTCCTTGCCCCTTCAAAGGCAAAACATAAGTGTTCGGTGTGAAACCAGACACTAAACGATCACAGTTCGGAGATCCTGAGGCATGGGCGCGGCGAGCCCGAAACCTCCGGAACTCTAAAACGAACCATACCATGAATAAGCACCCGAGTGCTTCTCAACGCAGGTGACGTCCAAGTCTCAAGGCGTCAAACAATGGGGTGTCTACAGACTGGGGTTGGAAGACATGCAGCACACACCGCACATTATTACAAAATTCGCCCTTCTCCGACGGAGGGTCCGAATAAAATAATACAAACACCAACTAGCTAACCTAAGCTATCTATTAAACTAGTTTAATTACACAACTAAATGAATAATAAGCGTACAGCTAATTATTACACACACTCGAACTAATTAACACAATTAGCTAAAGTTAGCAATTAATAAGCAATGTAAACCAGATGATCGTAGGCCTGCCTCAGCTCTGCTTTTCGGACTGACACAAGTGATGCATCTGCCCATGCATGCTCGAGTCGCCTTGTTCGGAAATTCCAAACACAATGCAACAAAACATGGCATCACTACAAGAATTAACACTTTTGGCAACAAAAAAATTGGTCGCTAAAAGTCAATTTTTGGTCGGCAAAAGTTATCCGCTACCAATTTTTTTGGTCGCTACTTTGGTCGCCAATTGAGGGTCGGCAAAAGTAATTCGCGACCAAAATTGTGGTTGGTCGGCAAAAGTTGGATTTGCCGACTAAATTTTTGGTCGCTAAATATTTAATTACCGCGACTAATTTATTTTGTCGCCAAAACACTTTGGTCGCGAAAAGTGATATTTTCCCGACCAAATTTCTTAGTCGCCAATTGTCACATTTCGCGACCAAAAAGTTTGGTCGCCAATTATTACATTTCGCGACCAAATATTTTGGTCGTCAATTATGACATTTCGCGACCAAAAAAATTGGTCGCCATTTATTACTTTTCGCGACCAAAACTTTTGGTCGGCAAAAGTGAGTTTCCACGACCAAGAGCTGTTTTGGTCGGCAATAGATGTATTTTTTGCGACCAAGACTCTTGGTCTGCAATTGTCATTTTTTGCGAAAAAAAATTATTTTGGATGTCGTGACTAATAAATTGGTTGCCAAAGCAGGAAAACAATACACCTGTAATTCCTAATAATTCATTCAATCCATAATAAACCTATAATTTAAAGCATCATTCAAATTAACTGAATCATTAACATTCGACACAATACAACTATTCTAAGTTTTCATTCACAAGTCACATCCATCTAGCATAACAAATTGAAACAATACATAATTCAAATTTACAGCATCAGTCCATACACATCTATCCACAAATATTTAATCCTCCAAAAAATGCTTATACTGCCAAGTAGTCTTGTACAATTTAGCTTCGTGAACTTGTTAAGAAATATGTTGGGGAGGGTGCTGGTCTGGTTCGTGAACTTTTGATCCACTTTTCCCAACTTTTGATCCACTTTTCAATGATGGCCCCATCGATATTGTTTTAGCCACTTCAAATGTTTAGCAACTTTGTCGTATGCATATCATTTCCCTGTCAAAATGCCAAACATAAATGTCAATAAAATTTCCTTCTAGACACTGAAGCACCTGTACCGCCCAAGCGTAACGCATCGTGGCTAAACAATTAATGAAATCAAATATAATTACCAAGCAAATAAATTTAGATTTTATCACGGTGATAAGTCATTCCACACGAATCAACAGCTTGTTGCTTCTACATTAGAATGCATTTATTAATGAAACTAGAACAATTATTGAGCAACTGTATGACATTTGATGTGTGAAGTGCTCTTTTTCTCATGTTCATTTCTTTATGGAACTGGGTGATCTTAGAAATCCAAAGCTTTTTTTACTTACATTTGAGTAAGCAAGGTGAACAGAGCTATGGGAGCCTTATTACCCTGGCTACCCTTCCCGAGGCATATGCCTGCTTATCAACAATTGCTATATAGACTAATTGCTAATTGCTATATAGATGATCTACCTGCTTATCAACAAAACATCAGGTCCCATACCTATAAATGCATATTCACCAAATATTACTTAAACCAATAGGACTCCAAGTTTTTAATTCGTTGATAACCCAATTGTTCTCTCCTTTAAAATAAAAAATCTCATCTCAAATACATGAATGAAAATATATGACACCCCCAACTAGTGTTAAGGAAACAAAAAAAGGGCCAAGAAATAAAGCAAATCATCTAATTCCTTCAGAATAATTGCCATGAACTGATGTATATTTAACATGTTATTACAGCAATCAAAAGTGATTATAGAGGATATGGTACCACCTTTGCACAGTCACCGAGCCAGCCCATGATACTACGAGCAGCTTGAAACATCTCTCCCAATGCAGTCAATATGATCTGCTCAACCAGAAAAGAAGAATATTCTTACGATGAAGTTAAAGCTAAATGAATGAATCCACGTAAATATGAGTTGTCTTTATTGGACTGACATTGGAAAAGAAAAACCTCCCATGCTATTATGCATGGGATACATGATGCATCAAATTAGCAACCTGCCCCTGCTACAGTCCAAGTTGTAGTCTATTTAAATTTTTCGTAACATGAGGACATGTGACTTTCTTGTTTTATTGTCTACTTAAAATTGACATCTGGCATGTGTGAATCCATGAGACAGAAGACTTGAGAAAACAAGGATCCCACAAAAAATTGTTGAGCATGGACACTTTTAAGAAGGTTTTGACATGACATGACATGACACGACATGACACGACACTTGTTAGACACACGTCCAAACATGTCCGACTATTTCAAAAAATTTCTATATTTGGAAGTGTTTCATACACCTGAGAAACACACTTGAAACACATTATAACCATGAATAAAACAACATGAAATCCAAAGATAAAAGGTAAGAAAAACATCAATTTACACCTATTCTCCTCTTTCAGACTTTAAAAATTGTGTATCTTTGAATTATTTAATCATATAAATGACATTTAATAATTCTTTATTCTTATATGTGACATAATAAATATACAAAATTATATATTTTGCACAAGCGCTAGCATTTTTTGAAAATTTCCATGTCGTCTTGTCGGGGTCATGTCACCTGTCTATGTCCAAGCTTGGTCCAGTCTGATGTTAATATACACAAAATGCATTGCATACAAAAGACTATTCCATGAAGCAAATGTTATGCTCTATAAATAGATGCAAGACTGAAGAACTGTCAATGATCCTGCCCTTACTTTTGCAGCATAACAGGCTGCACCAAAGAGCTCTGTATCATCTGCGATGGCATTACGTTCCTTCAACCTTCTCTTGATCTGATCCCGAGCACAAATGTAAGTTACACCATACACTGATGTCATCACTGTCTGCTTCACTAATTTCTTGTCCACCTAGATTATTGCCATTTATCAGTCCAACGTCACTCATAGAAAATAACTAACTATTGGGATAATTAAGAAAGATGTCAATGTGCAGCGAGAAAAGCACAGTGAAGAATATTACCAGTTTTATTTAAGTAAATAAAAATAGCATACTAAGTAAATGACAGTGTCTAATATGTTGGGCATTCGGAGTAAGGATTGCTCCCAGAGAAGAGTTCAAGCTGTTTGGGATGTGGCATCTATTTGTCTTTTGTGGTTGAGGGAAAGGAATGGGTGGTGCTTCCCACTCACAAAGTCAAAGAAATCAATGCTGAGATCTTTGTTCTTTTGGTTTAGAGAGTACTTCCTGTTGGGTCTTGTGGACCCTAATAAGTACTGTTCCCACTAACCTGTAACGTATTAAACGAATACAAATAGCGTCTCTCAGGTTTCCCAAATTACACAAACCTCCCCTATCATAATGGTCGGTTAACAGCCCTTAACACAAAATGTGCTTTTACTGTTTGGTTGGTGGAAGTTTATTGATCAGCTAGATTCAGTGATGATAAGAGCAATATAGAGAAAGAAGTAATCAAAAAACCAAAACCAAACCAAAAAAAATAAAAGACAAAAATAAGAGAGAGAAACAAGCAACTCGTCACAAAGCAAGGTTTCTGTTGCTTTCTTCAACCTTGCTCTCTATCTCTCTTAGTGTCGGGGTGGTGGATTATGGTGTTTGGGTTCAATCACTGTAGTTGGGTTTCAAATGTGAGAGAGAGAGAGATGCTCAATTAAATTAAACTTCTTTTTCTTTTTCTTTTTGTCATGGGATGTGGCATAAATGAATTTGGTAGTAGTATCATATTTTCCTTTGACAAGTGGTGTGGGTATAACTGACAATGTCTGCTTGCATTAACTAAATAAGGATAAAATTGGCATTACAAATTAACAAAGTGATGACATTATCTTTTTCCATCATTCTCATTGATGGTATGTCAACAGGGGCGAGGTATATACATAATGTTATGTTAGATGTAAGTAAGAGAGGGCATATTTCAAAAACACAAGGAAATGGCCGGAAACCTCAAGGAGGTCAATGTAATTTACTTTACTAATAATGATTAGTAGTCATAGTAGATGTGGTAGTGGTACCAACCTGATTGATTAAAAGCCTTGCACACAGTGCATCTGGAAATACTTCAGGATCTTTCTGAGCATCTTTCCTCATTATATATAGAACTCTACGTGGCAAATATGGCATTTTTTAACATGCAGTTGTCAACTGAGGTGATTTAACTCTGTTAATATCTATAAAACCTGAACGAAAAGATATAAGCTTCTTGCATTGTGAAAAAGCTACTTACCTTGCAGCTATTCCTGAGTAAACATCAGCAGGTTTTTCTCCAGCAACCAAATTGACAGCAGTTGCTCCCAACTGAATGAAAAAAATCCATCAGAGAAGCCAGAGATAGGCAACAAAACAGGAAACAAATTTTTTTTTTTTTGGGTCATGAATGGATAAAAAGTTCACATTTTTTCTTAGCTCCAATGAAATGAAAGATGACATTTCTCTGGCTATATTTCTCCATTTACTTTGATGCTAACTACTGCTAAATTTCGTAAAAGCAATGAATATTTAACGAATCATAACTACTGGTCTCAGCTTCTTATACAGTTATTAAAAGCTTATGGGATTGTTGATTGATTGGTGAAGTGAACAAAACAACCTATCAAGCATAAGAGAGCGGGTTCAAGTCCTATCATAGCAGAGCGAACGTGTTCGCAACACCCCAAATTTAAAGTGCCAACATAGCATATGAGCCTTCTTTTCCTAAGTTTTCAAGTACTTAATATCTCTGGACTGTCACTTCAGGTAGTCAGGGAATAGGTGGTACTAATAAATGGATCAAGTTTGGTTACTCAGGAAGTTATGATGGAGTAGTACCAAATAAGTGGATAGAAATAATTGGCAAATGACATGGAAACCCACAAACTCATTCACAAGTAGCTTATTAGCAATCAGGCTTCTTTAGAATGCCGATCTTAAAGAAGAAGAAAATAAACTCATGGATTTACTTACAGTTCTTTCGAGGCCCTTGCGAACTAGTGGATCACATTCAATGACACCATATCTTCTGCCGATGTTCCTGTTGAATAAAAAACACAAAAACCACAATATGAAGTGTTGAAGGCAGGAAGTTTGTCTATCAATAAAACAATGAAAAATGGATATTTGTTTTTCTTTCACTACAGTTTTTAATGAGTGTACAAACGCAGGTCGAATATCAGGTGGACCATCAGCTAACTGATCAGCCCGAGGCTGTATATAGGCAGTTTGCAACAGTAACTCAATTAGACGAGTCCCAACCTGAAAAGTAGATGAAGGATTGAACCTTTATATAATTCAGTTGTCACAATTATGGTTGGTGCCTAATTGTCCAGGGCGTAATGATAACATCTTAATAACATCTTACACCTAATTTGGTGGCTCACCTTCTCCAAGTAACTGGTAATAGATTATAGGACCAAAACATGACACTAATAGGCCCAAGTGAGACAATGATAGGCTGTCAAAAACATAGAAGAGATGGGAGAGGAAGTTGACATAGAGTTTTATTCTTAATAATCTGTCAGGTCTCAGCCAATAATCCTTTGTGAATTTACAAAGGTATATTCTTGACACTGCAGAAATATCTGAACTAGAATTAATTTATAATTGGACTCTACCCTCATTAACATGTACACACTTTTTCAAGAGAACATGTGATAAAGCATATGTCAAAAGAAAAATAAGACAATTTACAAAAGTTTCATAGTCCATACCTGCAAGGCATTTTCATGAAATTCATTGTGCACCTGCCTCAGATGTGATCATGGCAACTGGGGAAAATAAAAAGCATAAATCACTTACATACCAAACAGAAAAAAGGACCTCAAATACTAGAAGAAAGATGGTAGTATAAGAGTGTTTGCAACCTCATCACTACCCTTTTGTGGCAACATTACCAGTCACAAAAAAAAAAAAAAAAAAGCATAGAGGTTGAAAACATGAAAGTTAATAATGGTGTTTCTGTTGCCCCAAGGAGAATGCATCAATTTTATAAAGTTAATAATCACTTATTGAATAAACATGTATAGATGGATGCACACATGCATATAAACATGTATATAAACATCACATTATGCTTCTTTTTATCAGGCCTTTTCTTTCTGGTATATATATCTACCAATTCACAAAAATCCTTCTCATAAGAAGATGGGGATGATGTTCTACTATGCTTTACCTATACTATGCTTTGGTAATCCCAATTTTCCTTTGTCTCTTTGTCCCATCAGTTTTCTTAAGATCCTTGCTCTGCTTAAAATCTACCCATGACAAGAGACTTTCCACTATTCCAGACTTGGACACTGCAGGAGAATTGACCACAAAAGCAACAAAATTACGCTCACAAAAGGAGTAAATCATGAACATTAAAAGAATGCAAATCAATAGTAAAACCATGGATGATGAGAATGATCAGTGGATGTGCATAATCATGAACATCCGCCAAAATGTCACAAAAACTATCAGAATCTGAATAAGATAGCTTAGCTCATTCACTCCTAAACCAGCCTTGGAGGCATTTCCTAGCTACTAGAAAAAGAACTAATATCTGTTCAACACACAGGAAAGAGAAGACAGAAGACAGTTGAAGTCTTTTAAGTCGGTGTTTACCTATTCTTCACGTCAGATGTTGTCATATGAAAGTCCTTAAGTCGATGTTTACCTGTATGTAAGTCAGATGTAGTCACATGTTGGAAGGGAAACTTCCCATAATATGAACACCCTTTTCAATGACGAAATCACTAAAAGGAGGAGGTTTAGTAGTATAAATGTTGTAGAAGATACAACCTAGTCTTGGACTTAAAATTATGCACGTCATGTGCTCGATCTAGCAATTTTTGACAATTGTTTTGATGAACTGTCACCAAACTAAAAAAGAAGGAAGAGAAATAACTCAAAAACTTCCATTTCTGGGGTGGAAAAGACTCAACAGAGACATGCATGTAATAAACATCAACTGCCCAGAGAACATATATATGCCTGTGAATCACAATCCATGCAACTATGGTTCTGCTTGGTGCAATTATATTTGTAACACCACTTAGACGACAATCCTCTAACCAAATGACTCAATTTAGAAAATTTCTGAACCAAACATAAAATTGCTTAAATAGTACGTTACCTTAACCAGGTATTAAGATATTACTCCAACTCCATCATTATAAATTTATATCCATGGCGAGTCTAAATAGCAAGCCCATAAATCATGTCATGAACTATCCACAATAACATGTTTGATAGAAAAGTTCTGCATAAAATATATAAACTTCTAACAGTTACAAACAGACATTATAAAACCTTATCTTCATTTTGTTGGTTACTCGCAGAATGTGGGCTTCACACACCCATGGAAAAAAAGTGCATGTTTGATGTGTTCCCATGATAAAAACTAAGTGCTTGCTTTTTTCAGTGGGATAGTGACAAGGAATAAAAAATTCAACATTTTCGCTCAATAAGTTAAAAATGGTTTATCCCAAGATGTTTAAAGGGCATGAAGGCAGACTTGACAAACCACCTTTTTCCTTGCAAGATCAAATTTGATCTCTGTTTTCTCCTTTTGGGTTTAAGCATAGCATAAATTGAGTTTTCAATTTGTTTGTGTAATGTCTGTCGGGTTGGAGTTTGGGATAAGAAAAGACTTTGGTATTTAGCACCAAAAACAATTTTTTGTCGTTCACAGAGGAGAGATGAATCTCCAACAAGGAATTTTATTTTTCTATATACAAAAAAAAAAAAAACTTATTTTTGAGTTGAGAAATTTATTATCATCAATGCCGTTGTTAAAAAAGATTAATCTTTCTTGGAATTCTCCTGTTAACAAACCATAGTTCTGTTTTTCCTCCATTCTGCATCACTTGAAGAAGATTAATCTTTCTTGGAATTCTCCTGTTAACAAACCATAGTTCTGTTTTTCCTCCATTCTGCATCACTTGAAGAAGATTAATCTTTCTTGGAATTCTCCTGTTACGAGTTAACATCAACAAGAAAATGAAGCAACAGTTATTAATAAATTATTCTCATTCAAAAGAGATACCTTTAATGTCCTAAACTGCATCATGTGACCAAGAATACTCATTAGCCGATTAACCAGCTCCTTCGATATTTTTCCATGGCTTGCCTGCTGCAATCACCAGACAATATATATGAATTAATTCTATCAGATTATTTTTTCAACCACATTAAGTTTTGCTCATTTCCTTTGTGATTTTTCTTTTAAAATTCTTTCTTTTAGAGTAATTTGATTTCAAAACCAATGAACTTATTTATAAATAGTAGAATAAGTTGAAGAGAATATGCAAAACCCCAAGCTAATTTCTAAATCAATAGACGAACTTACTAAACAAACTGATGTAATTTGAAAAATGAAAATTTTGAATCCAATAGCCCTTTTTTCATTTCTTCTACTGAAATTGCTATTGAAAATTAATGGCTAATTCATTCCAATAGCCATTCATTTTTTTTACTTGAAATTAGCTTGAAAATGAAAATTTTGAATCCAATAGCAATTCCAAGGTTCATTTTTTTTTGGGGAGTAATGTTGTACAAACAAATTTAAAAACAAACTGATATAAGTAATGAGTTGTTCCTATTATGTATTTAAATTCAATAGATCCTATTTCAAGTTTCAAATCTTCACTTTTGTAAGAAAATTCTGTTTGTATATCATCTTCTCATAAACCAAACAGACAACTCTATACAGACTAACCTGATCACTCCAAAATGCTCGATCGCACAAACTGGAACCCAAGCCATCGATCAAACTATCTCGACCCCTCGAATTTTACCCGATTGATCGGGTTTGATCCGGAGAGAGAGTGATTTGGTGAGAGAAAGAACGAGCACAGCGAGAAAAATGCCGAGGAGATCAGCAACAGCGTCTTTGGCGGAGGCTCCGGCCGACTTGAAGAAGCCAAGCTCGTCGGCGACCTCTTTGGCGGCGCCGGTGGAGAGGGAGACGATGGATCCGAACCAGATGGTCCGGCGGCGGAGGAAGGATAGCGAGTTAGGGAAGCGAGGAGAGAGAAAAAAATGGTGATGGAGAAGCAGAAGAGAATGTGTTGTGCCTTATTCGGGGACCAACCACTCGTCCCCATTCTCCATTAGAGACAGAGAGAGAGAGAGTTGGA